CCATCATCATGTCACAACATTCCGTCATCAATGTCATTGTTAAAGATGTTAAAGAGCACCAGTCCCAAGACAGACTCCTGGGGGATGCCACTTATTACCGGCCTCCACCTGGACATAGAGCCATTGATGACCACCCTCTGTCTGTGGCCTTTCAACCAGTTTCTTATCCATCGAGTGGTCCACCCATCAAATCCACATCCCTCCAATTTGGAGATAAGGATGTGGTGGGGAACCATGTCATACAAATACTGAGTGAAATGATGAACAGTACATTCAGAGAGACTGACACTATTATCATCATGATCATTGGATGAACGTTCAAAAACTGCATAAAGGATTCAAGGGAGAGACTGGGATCCTGTTTAAAAACCGCAAGTTCTATAGTATTAGCAACTCCCTCTGCAAACAGGTGTAAAAGAGAAAATGGAAAAATTTTCTCTTTACAGAAGCAAGGTAGCATTGCTCAAAGTTTACACATATCCCAGAATATTGGCCATCTGCCTGGACTTTCAAGGTTAAGTTTTCAATGAAAACACTGCAAAAGAAATAAACTTCCCTAACAAAGCTCTCTGAGAGCAGGGAGAGATTCATTCTAAACAGCTAAAAAGCAGTCTTTGCCCACATTCTCCACCATGAATGTCAATGATTTACAGGCTGTCAGTTCTGTGACTAGCGGAGTAGAGGGATTTGCGAATCCACACTTCTGGAAAGGGAAAACAGAAAACCCCAAATAATTGAAAACAGCTTCAATGATCTGGAGAGAAACAAACTAATTTACTAAATATGGTATCAGAATGCGAGATAACACACTATAGTATGATATAATTAGAATTAATTAACTGGAGCATTAACTCTTTAACTCCCAGTGCACATGATGTTATGATGTAAGATACTGATAACCAAAAATTATAAAATCATGACAATATTTATGGTATATTCTTAGATTTCAAATTTGTTTATGTGTATCTTGAAGCAATTGCAATGTAATATTACATGTTCATGTAGCATATAGCATAATAGGCTTTGTTTCTGGTAGACATTAATAGGTATTATTCTAATACAAATAGTAAGTACAAGAGTAGTGTTACATGATAAAAGGAAAAAAAATATATGTTGGAATTTTTCATTGGTAATTTTTACAATTGTGATATTTTTACTGGAGCTTTACTGATGTTAAAAGATATACACTTGTGATCCATTATGGATAGATCGATAGACATACAGACAGACACATAGATATGTCAATAATTAAGTTACAAAATTAGTTGGCATACACCAGTTTCTGTTAAAGAGGAATATTGTCATTACTGGTGATGTAATGAGCTTACTTCAAAAGTAAGTGCTCTATTTTATCAACTAAAAAAGGAAAAAGCAAAATCAAAATCAAAACAAACTATTTCTTATTGTCTATTGTTATTACTAGTCCAAGTCAAATTTGTCTGAAGATCCTATTTAAGATAGAACTTTTTAATGTGACCTCACCTCCCTTCCCTCCCCCCCATATTGCTTGGAAATACTACTTTTCTGACCCATTGTGTGCATTCTGTACATCTTGTTATTTGATTTAAATTGCTAGTGCAGTTTGAGTTATTTATTTCATGTAACTCAAAGACACTGGCATTGCCTTATCAGCTAAAAAAAGAAAAATAAATAAAAATCTAATTTCTTCTAAGATTTGTTAGGAGTAATTTAGGACAAAATTACTCTGCAAAGCAACCTTAGACAGTCAGGAAAAAAAAAAAAAAGATAAAAAACTTCCTAAGTCTGTGAAAGTCTGTGATGTGAGAAAGCCTTAGTATGAAAAGAATTCACTCGAAAATATAGTACCAGTTAGAAGCAATTTCATATAAATGAAGCTTGGCCATCTGTCAATTCATTTATTTTGTTACTGAAATGCTCATCAATTCATTTATTTTGTTATTAAAATGCTCTTGCCACTGAAAATACTCGGTTCCCTGGTTAAACACAATGTCTGTTCAGTGTTTTTTTTTTTTTTAAAAAAAAAAACAAAATAAGTGATATCTAAGCTTAATTATTTTCATTTAAATAAATTAAGCACTTCAGCTTTTGAGAAATACAGGCTAGATGTATATATATATATATATATACACTTAAAAAAAAAAAAACCAAACACACACAAAAAACTAGGGAGCTTACTTTTTTTTTTAACTCTGTTAAAAATATTTTTTAAATCCTTAGCAGAATTGATAAATATAACTAAAAAATAACCAAAATCCTCTTTAGAATTTCTGAGCAGAACTTCACTGTTCTTTTACTGAAAGAACTACTGAATACTAGTTTCAGAAACTTAAGGCCATTGAATTTTTAGCTCCAGAGATAAAAAAAAAAAAGTGACTCATTTGATTTCTTTATTAAATATTATTTTTCAATTACAGTTTAATACTTTCTGTTAATATAGTAGAAAAAGCCATGGATAATCTCTCAGACTAAGCAAGATTATAGTATTTCTTAATTTGTGGATCATTTTCCATATAGAAAATATGCTGCCTTATATATAGAATGAATATTCATCTGACAGTTTTTGAGTCTCCAAAAAGTTAGTGATGTTGCTATGCAAATTATTTGTCCAACTCCATTTTCTGTATTATATTAATCTCTTTTATGGAAAATCCTTGGGCAATCATAGAGTAATAGAATCATAGTATGGCCTGGGTTGAAAAGGACCTCAGTGATCATCTAGTGTCAACCACCCTTCCATAGGCAGGGTTGCCAACCACTAGACCAGGCTGCCCAGAGCCACATCCAGCCTGGCCTTGAATGTCTCCAGGGATGGGGCATCCACTACCTCCTTGGGCAATCTGTTCCAGTGTGTCACCACCTTCTGTGTGAAAAAACTTCCTCCTAATATCTAACTTAAACCTCCTCTGTCTCAGCTTAAGACCATTCCCCCTTGTCCTATTACTATCCACCCTCATGAATGAACCCCAGGGAACCCCAGTGAAACTCCCTTCTTTACCATTCTAAGTGGTTAAACTTCTTCTAGTACTACTGACCC